TTCTTTAATCCTTTATTAAGCTAAGAACAGGAAAGAACTGAGTGTACCTCAAGTAAATGCTTGAATCTCTCTCAAATGCCAGGATTACAGGGACCTCTATGTCACTGGGCAAAGACGTTGACTTAACTGCCCTGGCTACCAGGATGATTTATCCCCGCATGGGGATGACAAAGTAGCAGGAGATCAAGTCCTCCTCTACTCTTAAATCTTGCTGTGGAGGGATGGGATGTGCCCATATCCTCGTGCAAGAAGATTCCTGTTTCTTCAGCCTTTCACCTGGGCCTGCATCCGAGTTAACTGGCCAGTTCCTGCAATCCTGCAGCATCCAGCTGCCAGGTTGTGTCCATACACAGACACACAAAGATTAAAAAAACAAAAAATGAAACTGAAAAAGGTATTTGGCTTACAGAGAGATCTAAATATGACTTGTTAACAGTCCCTGCCTCTGGAGGAGCCCTTTTGCAAGGCAGCCCATTTATTTCTTGGGAACGGAGGGGGAGTGTGCTGCTGTTCTTAGATTAAGGAGCAAGGCTTGGTCTTCTGGCCATTTGGGGATGTGCCATCTCATGCTGAGTTCACAGGCTGCTTGCTTTCTCTTTCAGGAGTGTGGAAGGGGATTTTGAAGGAATTGGGAGGAGAGGCAAGGCGTGTGTGCAGCTGGCTCGTATCCTGCAGTACTTGGAGTGCCCTCAGTAAGTCCATCACGGTCAGACTGTGCATCAGAACCAACTACCAAGGGTATCTTATGCTAGAGGCTAATTGTTTCACATGTCTGGTTCAGGAATTTAAAAGAACAGCACTGAATGCAGGATAGAACCTGCATGATACATTAGAGGTAGATCAGGGACTTGAGGGAGGTGAGCGTGCCCTTCTCTGCACACAGCTCCTTTGAGTCAGAACAGGGCTAGAACTGAGGCTTGGATTCCATAGAAACAACTGGTTTTACATTTCAGCCTTCTCTCCTAACAGGTACTTGAGGAAATCCTTTTTTCCAAAGCATGAGGATCTGCAGTTTGCAGGTAATGATTCAGTTGTCTCTGTCCCTCCTTGAGCTCTGGCTCTGGTTTGCAGGGGACACACAGAATTGAATAACTTTTCCTCACTTCACAGTTCAGGCTGTGAAGGTGCTGTGCTGGACCAGAGAGGAAGGGAGCAGCAGAGCAGTTGTACTTCCACCTCTGTTCCCACAGTTGGTGTCCTCTCCTTAGCAGTTGCTTTCCTCTGTGCTGTTCTAGGGCTCCTCAACCCCCTGGACAGCCCCCATCACATGCGGGTGGATGAGGATTCAGAGTACCGAGAGGGCGTAGTGTTGGACCGGCCAACTAAGCCAGGCAGAGGCTCTTTTGTTAACTGTGGGATGAGGAAGGTATGTCTGTCAGTAACCCCAGAACAACTTCCCCTGTCTCTGGCAGATCTGAAGCAGGCAGGGTGGGTATTGCTGGGTTTCTGAAGGCCATAGTGGGGGTTTAATGCTGTTGCTGTCTTGTCCCTTCTGGTTCATCAATGTTTGTAGCTCCCTGACTCCTGGTGGGTCTGCCTATCCCAGCATGTAACTGCTGGAGTTGAACCTCTGAGCAGCAAAATAAGTCTCAGACTGTTGCCCCAGCCACCCTGAGCCTGCTCTGCACCACATGCATCACACAGGCCCTGATCACAGAGCTCCTCATTCCAGCTCCAGGCCAGAACAGACCCCACTTCCTCAGAGGGTTCCCTTCCTTCCCCACCTTTCCCAGTACTTCCAGAATGTCTGATGCTGATGGTGACTGTCACTGCAGGAGGTACAGATCGACAGACAGCTGAAACCCGGTCTGCGAGTCACTGTGTGCCTGAAGGAACCCCAGAAGCCAGGTAATCCACTGCTCCCTTAGCAGCTGCAAACTGCAGTCCTGCAGGAGTTGGTCCTTCCACATGACAGCCTTCAGCTGACTGATGTCTGAAGGTACCCAGCAGCTCTGCACATTCCCTTCACTCCACCCACAGTTTTACTGACACCCTTACCCTACCTCCCTAGTCAACTGGAAAGAGCTGTCAAGCTCTTTGACCAACAATAAACAGCCCAAACATAATTGCACCCTTTCCAGAACGTGCTCAAACGGGCAGCTCTTGGTTGTACACCAAGTCAGTGCCCCATCCTGGGAGAAACTGCCGTGTGTGGCTGGTCAAACCCAGCTCTCACTAGGAAATCACGGGGGTTGTTCATCTCTTTGCTTCCTTTTCAGAAACTAAAGTGCTGAAAGGCACCGTCGTGTCCTCACACCACCCTCGGACAGTGTCAGGCCTGTACTGGGGCTACAGCGTCCGCCTCGCCTCCTGCCTCAGTAAGTATTTGCAGGGATTCTCTGCTCTCACATCCATGTCTCTGCCTGGGCTTCCCCACCAGTTCTGCACATCTGCAGCACACAGTAACATCTCTAAGAAATCCTTTTTGTCTCAAAGGCAGCTTACACATGCAGCTAGCAGCTGTGTGGCAATCAGATTTAAGGGCTAAAGCCAGGGGTGTGAATCACCCCAGTCACCCACTAGTACTCTGCCCTTTATTTCCACTCACCATTGCGCCAAAGGTCCATGTTGTAGCAGGAGATGATTTGGTGCTCTCCATCTCCAGCCAGTACATCTCCATTTCCATGATAATTACCTCCCACTCGTTCACATCAAAGCCAGCAGTGACATTTGAGCTCAAGAGCCCTGCAAAATCCTTTTCCTGTCTTCTGGTTGAAAAGGAAAATCACAATCTGTTAGTCAAGGAATGGTTCCTGGCACCTGTTTGAGCTTTGAGGAAAAGGTGCTGCAGCTGAGAAGGGTGCCAGAGACTACTGCAGCAAGGGAATTATGTAGGAAAGAGGAATTGTTCTTCTGTTGCATTAGTGGCACTGAAAAGCAATCCTTCTGCTGCTGCCCCTCGCCTGTGGAGTGTTTCAGCCTGTCCAGAAGGCACGCAGCATGGGTGAGGGCACCACATCAATAACCCCATGTTGTGTTTGTTTCCTAGGTGCTGTCTTTTCAGAGTGCCCCTTCAAGGAAGGCTACGATCTCTCTATTGGGACCTCAGAGCGGGGCAGTTCCGTGGACCAGGCCACTCTCCCTTCCTTCAGGTTCATGTCCTACCTGTTGCAGTTGGTAGCGGGGACTGTCACGTGGTCCAGGTGCTGTAAGGCTTTGTTAGGGAGGCAGCTGCACTGGGCATTGTCAGCAAGGGACACAGCTCCCTGCTTCAGCAGCACAGAGGAGCTCAAACCCAGACCCAGACACTTGACCAAAAGAAATGAGTCTGCTTCTTGCAGATAAAGTTAAGAGAACTGTTTATGTGAAACCCGTTCTTAAACCCACTTGAAGGTTCAAGGCACATGAGCAGCTCTCCCATGGAAAGCTGTAGCACCTGCCTTGGTACAGGGGCAGGAGCCAGTCTCCCCTCTCACTGACTCCCTGTGCTCTCCCCTAGGCATGCCCTTGTCGTGTTTGGAGGTCTTGAGGGCTTGGAAGCTGGGGTTGATGTGGACCCAAACCTGGAGGTCACCGACCCGAGCGTCTTGTTTGACTTCTACCTGAACACTTGTCCCAGCCAAGGCAGCCGAACCATCCGGACTGAGGTAGGACAAGTGATTCATGGTGTGGTGGGACGCAGTGCCTGCGTGCACAGAGCAGCAGTGTCTGCCTCTGGCAGTGAGCTGTACAGCAGGTCTGTTCCCCACGGTGACACTCAGCTTGCCTGGTGCTCCTCAGAGAGCAGCAGTTCTGACTGCTGCTGGGTCTGTTCCAGGAAGCACTTCTGATCTCCCTGTCTGCGCTGAGACCCCACATCGATGAGGCTGTGAAAACACCAGCAACAGCTGAGGGAAGGAAAACCACTGACCTTGCCATCAGCTGAGGACTGCCTTGGGGAAGCGGCTGTTCAAACGCGGGGTGCTGGGCAAATCACTCCAAGAGCGGGGTGAGGCCAAGACACCGTGTGACTAAAGCTGGCAGCGCTGCTCGACCAAGTGTCTGGCTGCTGTTGGGACCTCTCCACCCTCCTGCCTGCGTGGTCCAGCCAAGGACTGGTCACTGCCTC